TGAGCTGCCGGGGGAGCAGCCCAGAGACGGGCTGGCGGAGCCAGCAGGGCAGGCGGACCAGCACCCTGGCCCCTTCCCCATGGCCTGGCCCTAGTTTTTCATGCTGCATCCTACAAGTAAAACCCCACTGCAATATCTTTCCAGCATCCTACATCTAGGCCAGGCTCCAACTCCTCGGGATCATCCTCACTCACAGACCACGCTGGGAATAAGTCCTGATGGGCTTCCCAAGGCCCCTCCAGAGGTGGCATCTGCTCCCGTCCCTATGCGGCTGGCAAGAGGCTTCGTGCCCTTAAATAAGCGTGGGCTTGAGAGTGGGCTCAAAAAGCGATGAGTGAAACCTGGTCTGGTTTACCCAGTTGATGTATTAGCAGAGCTGTTAGCAGATCTATAATTCATCCTCAGCACAGACTTTCTTTGCTGTAATTACATCTTTAATTAGGATTTTAATGGCTCATTGTTCACAAACAATGATGAATAGGACTTTTAAAACAAAAAAATATATATCTCTATTCTGGGCGAGCTGTGAGTAAGAGTCCATCAGGAGCTCCACTCCTCCCTAAATTAGTATCATTTTTTTGTTTTGTTTTGGTTTTTTTCCACTGGAGTATCTTTTATAAAGAGGTCCCTGTCAGCTCTGTCCCAGGCAATGGGACCACTTTAAATGTCATCCAGTGCCAGATCCCAGTGTGTCCTCCAGGGATGTGTGCCAGACCCCTCAAGCAAAGGGACACAATCCTGGGACCCAGGAGTCCTGAGCTGGTGGCACATGGCAGGAAGGGCTGTGTCCTTGCAGCAGAAGTAGCCACAACCTGTGTCCAGTTGTTAATGCCCAAGTTGGCTGAAAGAACCATTTCCAGCAATTCTGGGTTTTCTTACCCAGTACAGACTAGGGAAAGCTGGTTTGAAAATGGCATTTGTGTGTCCTGTGGGAAATTCTGGTGCCTAGAAATGCAGTTGCTCTTCTTTCCTTCTTGGGAAAAGGCCACAGACTCAAAACTTTGAGCTACTTGATAGAAAGTAATTTTCTAAAATGGAAAGCTGGGAACAACGTTATCCAAGACACCAAGTCTGTACTAGATTTAATATATCAGAGTTTAGGCAAATTATTGCAAAGTGAGGGCCCAGAGGAAAGCAGGAGGGGATTGACCTGTCCCTCCCCTGCCCAGCCGGCGTCCCCTTCCTCATGACGGCCGAGCTCTTCACACAGTCGCACCGCCCAGCCGCCTACATCGTCGGGGGGTCCCTCAACTGGCTCTCCAACTTCACCGTCGGCTTCGTCTTCCCCTTCTTGCAGGTACCAGCCCTGAGGGGCCATGGGAGGAGGAGGAGGAGGGAAGGCGATGACCCCTGCTGGTCTCCTGGGATGGGATGCCAAGCTTGACCCAAGCCCATGCTCCTGGCTCCGCTGGAGTCCAGGGGTGCCCGTGGGAGCTGGCCCTGGGAGGGACAAAGGGAAGGGCAGATGCCTTGTGCCATGCCCAGCTTGGGGTGCATGGCTGTCTGCCCCATGCCAGCTCTCTTGCTGCCCCCAGATGTCAGCTGGTGCCTTCTGCTACCTGTTTTTCTGTGGTGTCTGCCTGCTGGTGGCCCTCTATGTCTACCTCATCGTCCCTGAGACCAAGAACAAAACCTTCCTGGAGATCAGCCAGACCTCCCCCCCCCGCCGCTCCTTCCGGTCTGCCCCAGCCCACCTCGTTGGGATGATGAAGCTCAGTGGCTATGGGTCTCTGGAGAACAGCTCACCAGAGGGTCTGGGCCCCCATCTGCCCTGACATCCCCCGGCACCCCCCACTGCAGGAACTCACCCCAGCTGGGAGCACAGGGGATGGTGGTGGAGCCTCTAGGCTGCTGGTGCCAATTCACTTGAGCTCGAGCCAGCTCTGGGTCTGCAGGACATATCATACTGTTGTGCCTTATGCTTTTCCCCACCCTTCTCCTGCTCCTCCAGCCCAGTGATGTGGGTCACAGGTGTGGAGGGGCTGGGTGCACCATCCTCCCCTCCAGCACCCTGCTCCCTCCAAACCTTCCCAGTGGTGGGAGGGATGTGGAGCTGGACCCATGCCATGTGCGTCCTCCAGGCAGACTGGCGGGACTGCCCGCTGCCGTTGCAAGGTGGTATCGTGGGTGAAGCAACCCGCCTTCAGGATTGGCCACGTCGCTGTGGCCAGCAGGTGCCAACTGGCAGGCATCACTCCTGTGCCAGAGAAGCTGCCTTTCTGAAGATGGCACCTCCTGAAACGCCACAGGCAAGGTAACCCCTGGAGCCCAGGCACATGGCCATCACCAGAGCTGTCTGCATGAGGTATTTAATAAAGAGCATTACCTCCAGGGCTGGGCATCTGGCAAGTCTGGGCATGGGGCGGGAGATACCTGGTGAGTGGTGGCATGGTGTGGCCCCTTCCTCCAGCACCTGGACTAATTCTCCTCCCTACGTGCTTAGCTGTGTCACTGAATGTCAGAGTCCCCTCTCAGTTGCCAGGCGGCCAAGGCTATGGTCAGGGTGCTTCCCAGACCCTGGCATCTCAACCAGCTTGGTCATGCAAATCCCGTGCAAATACACTGTACCACCTGCCTGGCGCAGGGGAAAGAGGCAGCCCTTTGCTGAGCCTCCTGCAAGGGTGCTCGCGTGGGACTGTGCACCCTCCCAAGTCTCTGCCCAGAACTAGGCAGGCCCAGGTGCATCTGCACCCCTTCCTGCACCTGCCGGTCACTGCCACCTGGGGTGGTCTCTGAGTGCCCCAGCATTACCTCCAGAATCCAAAGCCCCTAAGGCGCCTCCCTGCATGCAGTGAAGCTGGGGGCTCCCGGGCAGAGAGACCCTCTGGAAGCCGGGTTTGCAGGGAAATTTATTTTGTTCTGGTATGAGGTAAAAGCCAGGCAGCGGGGAAAGATGCGTGGCCAAAACCCTCCAGCTCCAAGGGAGACACCAATGGATCTAATTTTTGCAAATAATCGAGCCCTCTTCCCCCCACCCCCTCCACTCTGTGACAGGCTTGTGGCTTGCGCGTTTGGTGGCCAGCTGCTGGCTTTGCAGATCCGCAGGAATGGTCATGGTCAGTCGTTGTGTCCTGCCAGGAGCTGGCCCTTCTTACCTGACCTGACAAAGCCTCTGGGAGGTGGGAGGTGGGACCGTGGCCTCCAGCACATGCCGAGAGCGGGTCCTGGTGGCCCACGCACTGCTGTGACCAGTTCAGGGCACTGCACCCATGGGGATGAGAGCTCAGCCAAACTGGTCCCCCCAGGGCCCAGCCCCACTGTCTCCATCACCGGCAGCTGGCTTGAGGCCTCTCCCTGTGGCTCTGCGCGCAGTCTAAGGGACATCAGTCAAAGCCGGGGTCACAGCTCAACAGCATCAGCCGCTTCTCCCTCCCTCTCCCTCCCAACTCGGCTGCTCTCGGCAGCAGAACAGAGCGGTAAATATGTGCAGCATTACATATGTATAATGGAGTGTAAATAACCCCAAAAAGTGCATTGTAAATAGACTCCAAGTTTATCCTTTATTAATGAGGCACTGAGTGCCCTGCTGTTTTAGAGCAGCGAGACTTTCATAATATCAAAACCTAAATTACACTTGTGTCTCTCATTCCCAGCAAACGACAGCATCATTTCAGGCCTCTTTGCCACTGGTATTTATTTATTCTGGTATTTATTTATCTTTCCCACCCAGCACGCGGGGCAGCTTGGAAGATGCCCCCTGCCCTCCGCGTGGGATGCAGTGAGCCCCCTGGGAGCAGTCCCGTCCCTGGTCCTGGGGAGGCTGCAGAGCCTGTGTTTTTCTTTATGGCCAAGGGCTGCTCTGGGCTGGCTGGAAGAGACATGGTCGGCCTGGGCAACATGGGGTAGGGGTCCCCTCCTGCCCAGAGCTTCAGCCTCCACCAGAGCCAGGAGTCCCATCTCTCCAAGGACTGGAGGTGACTGGAAAAGTCCCATGGTGCCTTTTGGGTGCATTTGCTCTTGGGGACACTTGCCAGGGTATTGTGCCACATCTCTCCTCCATCAGGACCTGCAAGGGAGGGAGCAAGGAAACCCCATGGTCATGGGGCAATAGCTTTTCATCAGCTTTTTCTTTAGGATATTGGTCAGGCTCTCTGGGACTGTCAGTCCAACCTGGGCCAACAAAGGCAGGATTAGGGCTTCCCCTCTGCTTGCTGTGAAATGTTTGGGTCACTGCTTTGCCTTCACTTTGTGATGGCTTCAGGCAACACCCCAGGCAGGGCCCAGCACCCACATCCTGGGGAGCAACGTGCAGGGGATCAACTCAGGGCTTCAGTGCTGCACATCCCAGGGAAAGGATTCGTACGTGCTTGGAGGGGGCCCAGATGATCTGTGCTGTCGGGGGGGGGGGGGGGTGTCATATCTTCTAACAGTGTTCAAACAGACCATGAAAAATTGGAGAAGGTGCAAGCAAGAGTCCGAGATACGACGATGCTGGGAAGCGCTCCTGATCCTCTTTCCTTTGCAGAAGAGAAGATGAAGGTGACTTGCTGCACATGTGTAATGACTTCTCCTGACCTACCCGGTGCTAAAGAGTGGATGAGCCTAAGCAACAAAGTGTAACACGTGCAAGGCTGGAGCTCACCCTAGCCCCACTGGAATGGGAAAGAAAGCTCCAGATGAAATGGGCTCCCCAAGGAAATGGCAACTCCCCATCCTTGAAAATCCTCAGAGCCCACAAAGAAGCTTTTCTGGAAGGTGTCTGACTCAGGATAAACTGTCACGGCCTGATGGGAGGCTGCTGAGACACCTCTATGGGTGCCCTCTGGCACTCTGTGCCAGCGCTGGTGGCTGGCAAGCCAGCAAGTGTCCCTGCGCCATGTCTGGGCAGGCAAGGGGGTATTTGCACCCTGCTGATGCACAAGCCCCTGATGGCCCCTGCAGGGATGGGCTGCTGGGGGATAGCCTGCCTGCCTGCCTGAGACGTCCCAGTGGCTAGGAGGGAGTCTGGGTCCTGCCTAACTGTGGGACTGACCGAGCCTCTGGTGCTGAAACCTGCACCCGTTTCAAACACCCATCTCCACAGAAGAACTTATTTGCCTCTGGTGTGCACGGAGACCCCGTAACCAGTTGCTCTCTGCCCATGCCATCCCCCTTTGCTAAGCTAATGCAGCTGTTCCTGGCTGGAGAGCCCAGCCACACTGAGCAGAAAAAACAATCTTCGGAGCTGAGCTGCTCTGTGAAGCTGCTTGCCACTAGATGGTACCCAAAACTACTTGGCCACCTCTGCTGCCAGCCCCAGGGACCACCTGGAGCACCTTGAGGTGCAGTGATGGAGGGCAGAGCTCGCTGCTTTGCAGCGCCAGCTTAGGGAGCACAACCCTTCTGGGCCAGGCTAAGGCCACTGTCCCCTATCATCCAGGCTGCTTCATGCATGCTTTTCTCAGCCCTGTTTTGAGCCCGGTGAGCCACAGGCTTCAGGATGCAGGACACGGGGACAGCATTGCCCAGGGGAGGTCATGTCTCAGGTGTGTCCCGTGCCTGCAGCCTGGGCCCCATGGATGCCAAGGCCCCAGGACACGTGCTGTTTGAGTGGTGGCTTGCAACCCCTCTGGTCCCACCTGCTCGGGGCTGTTTAACACAGAGCAAAACTGGCAGCAGCCAGCCAGCGTGGTGCGGGGCTCTGTCGTCAGCCCTCTCCAATTTCCTCCTGCGAGCGCGGGGGATCCAGCTGCCAGACTGTGCAGTAGGGAGGAAATGATGCATCTGGTGGGTCACGACATGGGGAGCAGACCACGCTGGCGTGCTGCCTTCCGCCCTGCGCAGCCGAACCACTGCCAAAGCACAGTGTCAGTGCAGGACATACTCCAGGCCTCCTAGTGCCCCTCTACCCACCCTGGTGCCCTGGCAGGGGTTAAAGAGGCCCTGGCTGCATTTTGGGTAGGCAAAAATTCAGTAGCATGGAAGCTCTGCCCATCCTGGGGAGCAATGGGGACCAGCCCCACTCCACTGCCTGCCCACAACTGCTCACAGTAAAAATGCCAGGACAGATGTGACCCAGAGAGGGAGGGTTGCATCCCAAAATTAGGAAATCCCCCAGATGAGAAGCCTCCACAGGGGCTGCAATGGGACAGGAGGCTCTCAGCACAGTCCCCGGGTATGTTTTGTTTGGAAGGGTGATCTCAGCTGGGGAAGGGTCCTCGGTCCCTGAAGCCAGGACAGAGGATGGAGGCCAGGAGAGAGCCTGCGCTCTGCTGGCTCCCGTGGCCAGGACTCAGCCCCACAAGCCTCTCCTCTCCTCACACTGTGGAGCAAGCTCCCCCCTGGGCCAGCCGTTCAGAGCAGCTCTGGGCGAGCACCCTTTTGCAGGGAAAAACCTAAAGCGGATGATTTTTCTACCGGGGCTGTTCTGGGTAACGGGCACTCAGGACTTTTGCGAGCAGGAGAACAGTGATTTGCCGCTTTCTGAAGCCCCAAATATTTCCTCCGAGCCAGCCAATCCCCCCAACCCTCTCTCTTTAAAATAAAAAAGATACAGGATGAATTTAAGGGTATATCTGGAAAAAAAATACTGAGTTTGTGGCCCTATGGGAAAAGAAAAAAATTCTTCTCT